CCTTACCATATAAGTTGCCTTGAGATGAATGTTGTTGTTATTAGATGCTAGAAGGGAATTGAATTAAATATTAATTGATAGTGTGTAGGAGGTCTAGTCTATATTTAAGATAAATTCACATTCATATTTGTTGTTTTCAAGCAAAGATATCTCTCTTGCACACTGGGAATGTAGTCATACAAGTTCCTGTGGAGAGGGGAGGAGCTGCTCTGCTGAGGTGAGGAGAAAACAAAGTACTGTAATTTCAGTTTCTACAGTCATAGAAGCAGACGAGTGAAAAAAAAAGGTGAGTGTTACTGAGCATTTATTGGGTGTCGGAAAAATAGCAAAACAATTTCTTACTGGAAGATATTACATTTATGTTTCTCAAGGTGGAACAAAAGCTGGAAATTGTTAGGATCTATTTCTGTACTTGAGTTTGTTGCACCATGGAACGAAAAAGAACGAAACATGATGGATGAAACTATATCTTTGGTTAATGGTGAGACTGACATTTTAACGTCTTGTGCTGAGCTGTCTCTCAGTGAGCTGTAGGAGAGTAAACTTATCTATTAATTGATGAGGTAAAGGGTCAGCTGGGTTTAATACAAGCTAACTCTGTGTGTGTGTGTGTGTGTGTGTGTGTGTGTGTGTGTGTGTGTGTGTGTGTGTATGCTGTGTTTCCTGTTCTGCCAGTTATGGCTTTCTTTAAAAATATTTCTGATGTTTTTTTCTGCCGTGCTCACAGTCACAGTTCCTTGTTTCTCTCCCAGGAAGCCTAAAGATGAGTGTTTTGCAGGGGAACATGGCAGAGTTTCAAGGATCCAGCTCTATGTCCATGAACAGTGACAAATTAGGAGATTATCCTCCAGTCTTCAGTCGTGAACTTGGACCATCAGGCAAAAAGTAAGAAACTGTGTCTGTTATAAGCAAATTGAAAATGGTGAAAGGAGAGGACAGACTTTAGTAACGTAGTAAAGTCTTTCTGAAAAGAGCTCTTAAAGCACTAAGACATTCATATCCAGTGATTTTCCTCAAACAACCACTGACGCTGTATTATGTATTTCAGTCTGTATTATGTTTTTGACTTCCTGATATTTGTTTTCCATTGAGTTTTGTATTTTATTTTCTAAAGGAACATAATACAAGCTGTGACTCCGTATCCTGGTAACTGATGTTAAGATGATTGAATACTGATGAGAGAAAGATTATTTGTGTATATAATAGAAAAATCTAAATGGGAAGCTCTGAAATATTAAATGAAGATCTGAAAGTGAGTTAAAAACGATTACCCTGGTGACAGCCTGCCCTACAGAAAGTACAGTAGTAGAGAGAAAATTGAGTTTTTCAGTCTCCTAAATCTGACAGAGAGAGAGAAGCAGCTGAATGCCCAACAACAGGCACATGTAGAAGAATAATCTGTTCTGGATTCATTGTTTGTCTTTACAGACATCAACAACACAAACACAGACCACAGTTTCCAGGATCCAGCTCTGTGTCCATGAACAGTGACAAGTCCAGAGAATATCCTCCAGTCTTCAGTCATGAACCTGGACCCCCAATCACACAGTAAGAGGCTGATTTTGGCTATAAACTGAGTGAAGATGCTTTTAGTTTTCAAATATTTCGTATTGTTTCAAAAGAGTTCGCAGGGGTGGAGTCACTGAATTGTGCTTATACTCCTCTGAAGCAGATCAGAGATTGGTAGGAATGAAATTACTGCAATTTAAAAAAAAACATGTGGCCACAAACATGTTTTTTTTTTTACAAACATTAAAGACACCATTCTTAAAAGATCGAGGCTAAACACAGTCTTTCTGTGAAGGCTCTTAACGCACTTGCAATTAAGCAATTATTCCCCCAAAACCACTAACACAGCTGTGTTAATGTCTATTGCATGTTTGGCTTAAATACAGCCCAGATGCAACACTTCAGAGTAGACTGGTTCCCTTAGTTAGTTAGACAGAGGAAGCAAAACTGGACATAACACACATGAGGCAATCTGTGATGTTATGGTTTAGGTCCCGGATGGCTTGGGGATAGAAGCTCCTCTTGAGTCTCTCTGTCCTTGCCCGGATGATGCGGAACCTTCTACCAGATTGCAGAAGTTGGAACAGTTTGCCAGGATGGGACGGGTCCTTCAGTATCTGCGCTGCTCTAGTTCGGCATCTCTTGGTGTAGGTGACCTGAAGCAGGGGGAGAGCAATCCTGCAGCAGCGTTCTGCTGTACGGATCACTCTCTGGAGAGCTTTTTGGTCCTTAACACAGCTGTTCCCAAACCACGATGTGATGTTCTGTTTGGGGATGCTCTCCACAGCGCCTGTATTGAAAATCCTGAGGATCACTGGAGAGACCCTGAACTTCCTTAGCTGTTGTAGGTGGTACAGGCGCTGCCTAGCCTTTTTCGTCTGGACCTGAATGTGGGCAGACCATGTCAGGTCTGAGGAGATACGGACACCGAGATACTTGAAGGACTGCACCCTCTCCACTGGAACTCCAGTCTCTGTGCTGACTCCTTCTGAAGTCCACCACCAGCTCCTTGGTCTTGCCAACGTGCAGCTGGAGGTGGTTATCCTGGCACCATGATGCCAGATTCTTCACCTCCTCCATGTAGGCCGCCTCATCGTTGTTGGAGATGGCACCCAACACCACTGTGTCATCAGCAAACTTCACAATGATGTTTGAGCCGTGGGTGGGCACACAGTCTGCTGTGTAGAGGGAGTAGAGCAGTGGCAAGAGGACACATCCCTGGGGTGCTCCTGTGTTGATGCTGATGCTGTTAGAGACGCATCTACCCACCCTCACCACCTGAGTTCTGCCATAATTAACAGCTGATGTTGAGAGGTCCTAATGTTTGCACTGATATTTGTGTTCTAGTCGACTATCTGATTCTGTTTGAATTCAGATATGTGATCATGTATGGCAGACACCCTATTAATATAACTGTACTGCTTTAAGAAGAGGAAGCAAAACCAGAGCAGATTGGGGAGCAGTGTTCCCTCTGAGCTGAGCACGTGAGCAATCGCAGACTGCTGACACAGTCTCCGCACACATCTGCGCTGCGCACAAAAAAATCCAGTGTGAATTGAAATGAAAGTAAATACATGTATTTATTTTAATTTCACTGATTTTCTGTGTGTGGAGACCGTGTCAGCAGTGTGCGATTGCTCATGTGCTCAGCTTAGAGGGAACAGTGTTGGGGAGTGTGTGTGACCAAACACGTGGAAACCAAGCGGATTGCTAGCTCCTCTGAGCAGTGTGGGAACCATAGCTGAACTCAAAAGACTCCAGAAAATGGAGAATTAACGCGAACAAACTGAGAGGGAAATCCTGAGCACAGCAGACAAACAGGTTTAAAAGATGAAGTCTGTGAAGGTTCTCAGAGATTTAAGGTTTAAGAGATGAACTAGCGAGCAGAGGAGGTGAAGATGAAGGCAAAGGTAGAGGTGTGTGATGTTGGATAAGAGGCTGCAGGTTTTGTAGAGACTATCCTTGATGAACCTAGATCATCAGGCACAAAGTACAGATTTTGGAATAACTAGTTTTCTGAAAGTCAAGACAACATTCTTGGAAGCTAGGCTAAACCCTAAGGTCAATCTCCTTATTTCAGTAGACCAAACAGCCACCCACATAAAAGCTGTTTTGCTTCGATTAAGAATAAATGCACTGTTTTATACAGGAAAAGGCAACAAAAAACACAATAAGTGAAAGATACTGAGGGGAAAAACCAGTAACTGAATGCCCACTACTATGAACCTACCACAGAAACAAGTGTTTGCATGATGTCTACAAATGTTTTTACTTCCTTTATTTGGTCAGAATAATTTTTGTTTGTGTCCACAGAGAGAAGAAGATGAATTTCTTTGTGGAGAAGCCAGTGTCATGTTGTGTGTGGTGTCAGGATGTCCTGAAGGATTCATCTACAGACTTCTGTCCCCAATGTGGAGTCAAGTCTGGAACCAGAACTTTTCAGCAGACAGCCAGTAAGAGCAGCTGTGCAAAAATGAAAACTTAAGTTTTCTTGCTCTCTTGTTTAATTGTTTTCTTTCTGTCAACAGATACTGATCTAGAAAAAGTTTTTGATGTATTAAAGGTCACTCTGAGGACACGATATGAACATGTGATTGAACGAACTGATAAAACAGGAATTGGAGCCCTCCTCAGATTGATCTACACTGAGCTCTACATCACAGAGGAGCAGAGTGAAGCTGTACACTTCCAACATGAGGTGAGGCAGGTGGAGAGCGCTTGTAAGAAGACCCTCTGTGAAACACCAATCAGCAGCAAGGACATCTTTAAAACCTTACCTGACCAACAAAGACCCATCAGAGTGGTTCTGACATATGGCGTTGCTGGCATTGGAAAAACCTTCTTGGTGCAGAAGTTCACTCTGGACTGGGCAGAGGGCTTAGAAAACCAACACATCAGTGCGGTGGTTCTGCTTTCATTCAGGGAGCTGAACTTGGTCAGAGATGAGCAGTACAGTCTCCTGGAGCTGATCCATGTTTTCTATCCAACATTACAGAGCGTCACAGCAGAGAAGCTCACTGTGTGTAATCTTTTGTTCATCTTTGATGGCCTCGATGAAAGCAGACTTTTGTTAAATTTCAACAACAGGAAGCTTTTGTCTGATGTCACACAGAAGTCCACCATTAGTGAGCTGCTGACAAATCTCATCGAGGGGAATCTTCTTCCATCTGCTCTCATCTGGATAACTTCCCGACCTGCAGCAGTCAGTCAGATTCCTCCTAAATGTGTTGACAGGATGACAGAAGTTCGAGGTTTTACTGACTCCCAGAAGCAGGAGTACTTCAGGAGAAGATTCAGAAATAAAGAGCTGTCAAGCAGAATCGTCTCTCACTTGAAAACATCCAGGAGCCTTTACATTATGTGTGGGATCCCAGTTTACTGCTGGATCACTGCTACAGTTCTGGAGCACATGTTGACTACAGAGGAGAGAGCAGAGCTGCCCAAGACCCTGACTGACATGTACTCACACTTCCTGCTGGTTCAGACAAAGAAAAAGCACAAGTACCATGAGGGGCAAGAGATGAGTTGTCAAGAGCTCACCAATGCTGACAGAGAAGTTCTTCTGAAGCTGGGGAGGCTAGCGTTTGAACATCTGCAGAAAAAAAGCATCCTGTTCTACCAAGAAGACTTGGAGCAGTGTGGTCTGGATGTCACAGAGGCCTCTGTGTATTCAGGAGTTTGTACAGAGATCCTCAAAAGAGAGTCTGTGATCTTCCAGAAACCAGTTTACTGCTTTGTTCATCTGAGTGTTCAGGAGTTTCTGGTTGCTGTCTACATGTTCCACTGTTACACCAACAGGAAGACAGAGGTGCTGCAGAACTTCCTTACTGAGGACGATAAAGGAAATAAGATATCTTTGAAAGATATCTCATCTCTGGAAGATTTTCTGAGCAGAGCCATGGAAGAATCCTTGAAAATTCCGAATAGCCACCTGGAACTGTTTGTTCGCTTCCTTCATGGCCTCTCTATGAAATCCAACCAGAGACTCTTAGGTCTGCTGGGTCAGACAGAGAGCAGTCCACAAACCATCCAGAGAGTCATCAACAACCTGAAGAAGATTAGCAGTGAAGGCAAGTGTCCTGAAAGATGCATAAACATTCTCTACTCTCTCAGGGAGATGAATGACGTCTTAGTACATCAGGAGATCCAAGAGTTTCTAAAGTCACAGAACAAGTCAGAGAAGAAACTCTCTGAAATTGAGTCCACAGCTTTGGCACATATGTTGATGATGTCAGAGAACGTTATGGACGAGTTTGATCTGCAGAAGTACAACACATCACGGGAGGGACGATGGAGCCTTCTTCCAGCTGTGGTAAACTGCAGAAAGGCTCGGTGAGTCCAAGTGTGATTAACATTATAAATCAGTGTAGATCAATAGTTTAGTTCTTAAAATTACTCTCACTAAAAAACATCATTGCTCTTATTACATTATTCCAGATATTTATTCTAAACATTACATGTCAGTTATTTTTGTCAGAGATGTTTGTGCAGAGATGTTGGGGCCACAATGTTCCCATAGTGGCCGGCCCCCACCAAGCCGTGGACAAGCTCGAGCACCTGCAAACGCAACGACTGAGGCACCAACAGCTGCAGGAGATCCTTGCCCTGTCCGGGGGCCCGCCATCTCCGGTATAGGAGGCCGTCGTGGGTCTCCAGATTGTTGTACTGGGAGTAGTAGGCCTTCACCTCGAGCCCCTGTCCTGACGCCCCTGTCCAGCCTGGGCATCGTGCCGCCTCCAGCCAGGCCCCCACCTGAACCAACGTCGCATCAGCCTCCTGCTCCTGCTTCAGCTGCTGCATGGTCAACGAGAGCCATCCCCCTCCGCCGGCTGTGGCCCGAGCAGTAGCCACGCCCAGTGCCTCCTGGGCCCGCTCTCCCTGCCGTTTCGAGAAGGGCAGCTGGTGTGGGCACAGACAGATGGGTTGAGCAGAGCCAGTGTCGATGGTGTGCTGAACCAGCCGCGTCTGCCTGCAGTCTCTGTCACTAGCGGCAATGATGTCCACATTCTCGCCCAGGAGGCACCTCAACCGCTAGTACTGCCACAGATCATCAACAGCTTGGGTTGTCTCGGTCGAGGGAGTTTTGTCGGGCCTAGAGACTGGGGCTGAGGCGAGTAGAGATGGTCCAGAGCCACTGGGGTCTGAAGACTGTCGAGCAGCAGCTGCCTGAAGCCTGGCTTGTCTGTCTCTGATTCCCTGCTTTTGACTGCACTGGAGGGCCAGAGTCTCTGTACCAAGAGTGATAGCCAGCTTTGCGGTGTCAACGCAGGCCCCCCACTGCTCTTGAATGTCAGCAAGCCAGAAGTCGTGCACCAGCTCCAGATCCTTCACTCGGATCCTCAACGGTTTCTTCCCGCGCATGTCAGTTCTCTGCCTGTCATCAGCTGGGTGTCGGTGGGTGACCAACGCTTCACAAGCGGCCTGGACGTTCCAGGGAGCACACCATGTCGTATTAGAGAAATGGTAGACCCCGTGTCCACCAGGGCCTGGCAGGGCTGGTCCTCAACACAGCAGCTCAGGTAGAGTCCCTTGAGGTGCCCGACTAGGCCCACCACCGTGCATCGTTCTTGGAGGGGGCAGGAAGCTGAAGCGGTGGTCCCCTCGCTGTACCGCTCCCCCTCTCATTCCCCTGAGGCCACATAGTTCTGGCCTTCGGGGCAGGAGCCAGGCAGTCGCACGCCACGTGGGCAGGCTCATCGCACCGGTAGCAGCGGTCAGTCGGTCGACGGGGATGCCTCCAGGGCACCGAGGGCTGCAGCTGGCATATCTCCGGGACCTCCCCCTCCCTGTCGTAGTCTGCGGCTCTGATTCGGGGGTAGTTTGGGGGGGACACCTGCTGGTTAGGTCGCGAGGTGGGCACCAGCTTGCCCTTTCAGCCTCGAGGAGCTCCTCAAAGAGAGTTTGAGGCATGGCCAGGCTGATGTGTTGGCGCAGTCGCTCTGGAAAAAGTCCTGGCAGAAAAGCATGCAGGCTAAGCGCCTCACGGGCTGCTGCTGGGAACTCCGGGTAGCCGCGACGAGCATACAGCAACACGTCTGCTGCAAAGGTTCCCAGGCTCTCCCCCGGCCGACGGCTCCGGTTGGTCAGCTGCTCCCTGCTCTGATCAGTGGAGTGCTGCTGCCCAAACCGCCTCTCGAGTGCTATGGTGAGGGCTTGGAGCTCATGATGCTCTGATGGGGCTAGGTCAAGGAGTACCTGCAGTGCATCTCCTTCCAATGCTAGCGCTAGGTGTGTGGCAGCCTCTTCATCGCTCCAGCCACTATGCCTTGCGGCTAGCCGTACTTGTGAGAAGTAGGGCTCTAGCGGGGTTAGCCCCTTGTATTTCGGTACCTTGGCTGGCGTTGCAGGCATCACTGCTCGCTGTCGGGGACCCGGCGTGTCGGTCGACAGAGGCAACCCATGAAGCATTGTCCTAGCGTCGGTCACGATGGGCCGCTGTCTCGGTGCACCGTCGGGACCCGTCGGGGGACTTACATGTCCACTCGCTTGCTCTCGCTTCGATCGCCCACTTCCCAAGCAGCGAATGCTCTCCTCGACGGCTTGCTCCAGCCTCTGAGTGTCTCTCTCCATTCCGGTGAGGGTGAGCAATTCCACTTCTGACACCAATGTGGCGAGCTCAGAGGTTTCGTTTGGTCTTGCTTCCCATCAGCCAGGGAGCACAGACGTTTATTAGCCGCAACAACAACAACAACAACACAAAAAGGCGCTCTCTCTCACCCGGAAACACCAGTCGAAGAGAGAGCGCGTCACCTGTAACTATGGCAACATAACAACAGAACATAACTGTAAAAACAAAACCCCGAACAGCCCTGACCCGCTATAATAACATCGATTTAAATCTTGATAACATCACAGTGAGTGGTCAGGAATTAATCATATGAGACTGTGATAGGAAGCACACAGCTTTCACTCACACAGCACTGAAAGATGAGTGCTGGTTTCTAGTGTTGGGACTAACACATTATTAACCCTCTGGGGTCGCTGGACGCGCTGGCGTGTCAAAATCACATGAGCAATTTAAGACGACACAGCTACAAGATGCAGCACGTCAGAGTCTCCATTTCAACTTGGGTCGAAAGTGCGGACTTCAAACTATATACCAGTTTTTGAGTTGTGTCGATGGGCCACGTAAAACCAGAGTTATGATAAAAAATACACGCAATGTTTTTTTCTGAACAAAACAGTGGTGTTTACAGCGGGAAGAACGGTAAAAACGGCGTTTTCTAGAGACAGCGCTAGCAAACACTCTCGCTTGCAAGTGAAAAAAGAAAAAGAAAAAACACCCCTTCCCTATTGGTGTTAGAGTTTACCATGTCAGCCAATCAAAAAAATGATATGGCAACATGTGACATTTGGTTGTTTAGGGACAAGGGGAAGTTTTAGTAGCGACACCCGAGGTGGAAAGTGGGCGAGCGAAAGAAAGAGAGAGTTTTCGTATGTGAGACATTAGTGACGTTTAGCGTGTTTGGAGGCTGTAGTTAGTGTGTTGTGTAGTTATTGTCTTGTATCGTGTGTCAGTTAGACTGCTGAATTTCATATTTGCTCTAAAAAAGCTGCCAAAGGCAGATTCCAGTGTAAACGCTATTCCCACATGGAAAACTGGACTGATGCACCTCCTGTTGTCAGACCTGCAGGGTTTAGACCTGTGGTGTTCTCCTTTGTCTTATACTGAACACAAACTACATTTTTTGGACTGGCACAAATAATTTGTGTGCCTTCTTTGATGCAGCACACCTGATTGTTCAGTAAATAGATTTAAATGATTATATAAAAAACGCCCGAGGCCTTGGCTGCATTTTTAGGTAAATAGTGCCATATATCTGTGTTGTTTGCAAAACTTGTGCATAATTTTTAGAAATGTACAATTTCTATTTGCATTTCAAGTTATGAAAATGATTCGTTAAACATGTTTGTGGGGTTTACAGGAAAAAAATATAACTTTTTTCTACTTGGATTTTGAATTTTTTGTCTGAATTTAGATCAGCTGTGCTAATATAGTATACCAAAATGAAAAAAATAAATCAAATTTGAGGTTGTGCTGAAAATAATGATACCAAACAAGGCAAGAAAAACATATTTTAAAGGTGAAATATAGAGGTAAAATCAAAAGTAGTCAAAAACGGCCAATTATAACCTGGACCTCAGAGGGTTAAGTAACGTGTTACAGTAACTACGTTATTATTGTGGTAACGAGCACGGTAGTTATTATGCCAAAACCGGGAACGCGTTACTCGTTACTGGGATTTAGATCGTTATTCGTTACTTCGTGTGGTGGCTATCGCGGAGCTTCCACAGATTCAATAACATTAGCAAGTGGTGGAGGCCAGCATGTGGATGAAGGAAAAGGGAGGCAAAAGGAGAGACCCGAAGCGGCCGCTGGTCCAAGAGTGTCAGGTGAACTGAACTTCAGGTAAGAAGTTATGACCTGCAGTCTATCTGGGTCAGATATAAACCAAGTTTAGATGGAGTTTATTTTTGTTATGCTGACTTTTTCGTACTGCATGCTAGCTAGCATGACGGAGTTTCTATACAGCTGGGTGGGTGCTATGATGTTACTGATGTTGAACTTTATTTTGTTCACAAGGTTAATTATTAGAGTTGCCGACCGTCCCGTAAAAAACGGAATCGTCCCGTATTCAGAGAAAATATTACGCGTTTCGTATTGAGGTGAAAAGGAACACAGTTTGTCTCAGACTTCAGCTACAATGGCAATGAAAAAGACACAAAGCTGAAGTTATTCTGTGTTTACGCTGCACAGCTGCCTCTTTTTCTCTCATCCTCTCCCCCTCCGTCTCCTGTTTCTACTTCAATCATGAAACTGATCAATGATCAGCTGATCGGCTCTCTTGTTTATTTATCGCCCACTTTACGCCAGAAAGAGGAAACCAGCGGATGTCGCGGTAAACAACAGCAACACGTTTAAGCTTGATCAGCTGTTGTTAGAATTTATTTATTATTAATTTCTAGTATCAGCTGATGTTTGCTGGAGCCACAGCTGCAAAAAAGCTGCTGGTCATGATATGGTTTGGTTATCTGGTGAGAGGGAAACATGAAGATGAAACCAGGAGATGTCCTTACTGAATCATCAGAGCTGAACAGGTGATGGAGAAACATGTTTACCTTTTAGGTGACATGAATGAGTTGAAGGGAAGTTATGAACTGTTTCTGAGAGACAAATAACACCAGGATCCTTTTCTAAGTAGCTGACAGCTGGTAATTGTGCAGGGGCGGGTCTAGCAAAGTGTTGCCAGGGGTCCATGTAGGGCATTAAAAGGGAAAGGGGGTACAAGGAAATACTTTCTCATTCTCATTTAAAATGTCTCACTTTTAAAAAAATAATTATCTGAGTCTTGCAACAAACAACAGTGTTTATTATCATTCAAAGGTTTTATGATTTTTCCTATAATGGTGGGCCGGTCTCTAGTCAAAATGCCCGGGACGATTTTTTTGTCCCAGTCCAGCCCTGTATGCAGCTCATCTGCAGTCTGGTGTTACCTGCATCTTCCTATTCAGAAGGCAGAATTTCCGAGTTCTGAGTACAATCGAAAGCACCACGACTGCAGTTTTTGTGTTGGATGTAAAAAGCAGGCTAGGATAGAATCAGGCGTGGGATTTCTCTCGTGGAAATATGCACATTATTTTTTTCCTTTCTATTGGTAGGTGGCACAGTGCACTTGTGGCAAGTAAGCAAGCTAGAAGACTGGCAAACCTGCTGGGTATCCAGTTACGGAAGCAACACATTAACAAGAGAATTCTGAGTAAAACCAAAGTTACTTTCCCTAGTAACTAGTTACTCTGAAAGTAACGAGTAACTTGAAGTAACTGAGTTACTTTTGATAGAAGCAACTAGTAATGTAACTAAGTTACTAATTTAAAGTAACTTACCCATCACTGCTGGTTTCTTTACAAAGTGTTTTAACCAGTTTGGTTTTAGCAGCTTTGCAGCTGCACACTTCAGTTCATCTTTGTACCACACACAGCTCGGTCCTGTTGTTCAACTGTCACTCCTCTTTCAGGCCACAGCAGATACTGAAATAGGGAAAGCATGGTTAGCATAATCGATATCAGCTTTGACAGCCAGACTTCCTCCGTGTCCTTGTCACTACCCGATCCGTACCGGAAACCCGATCGGTACCCCGCATGCGCAAATCTTACGTCACTTCCTCTCTTTGCGACATTCAATATATTTGAATGATGCGGTTAGCGCCCAGTTAGCTCCTAGCATTTCTCAACAGCTCTGCCTTCTTTTCGACTGCCCGGGACATTTAAACAATGGATAATCCGTATACAAAGAAATTCATGCTTTTCTCCTCAACAGAGAGCGTCCCCCGATTGAGCAACAGCGCCGTAAAATAAGAAGAATGGCGCCTAATTACAGAGTTAATAATGCAGGCTTTGTAATATCTCACGTGTAGATTCATCAGCCAGATGAAGTGTTTACTGACAATTGACAGTGAGGGGGGTGGACATCATAACTATTCTAATCAATAGTCTCCACAGTGACAAGCATAAACACACTCGATTATCACTAAATCAACTTTAACACACGTTTGTAATGACGCTAATTCAGTTTACAATAGGGTTCATTCGCTCAGTCAGCAGGTGGCGGCATCCTCGTACACTGGGGAGTACACTGCCATTAAACGAAAAGAAGAAGAAGAAACCCCTTGCACATGCGCGGTACGGATCGGGTAGACCCGATTTGTACGGTCCGACTTTGCACATGCGCAGTAAGGATCGGGAGTCCCGATCTGTCACTATCTTTTTATTTTTTTGTTTTTCTCTACATTATATTAAAGGTTTCATTATCTGAAAGATTTTAAGAGATACTTGTTATTCTTAACATCTTAACAGATACTCTGACCTGTAACTATCGTAAAATGCTTCGACCGGAAGTAGAAACCTTTCGTGCATGCGGGGTACCGATCGGGTTTCCGGTACGGATCGGGTAGTGACACTCCGTCTCCTGCAGCTGAGCCACAAAACAAAAACAACAACAAAAAACAAGTACTAGCAACAAAAACTAAGGCTACGTTCACACTGCAAGTGAAAGCGCATCAAATCCGACTTTCTGACCCTATGGGACTCATATCCGATCATGGTATGACAGTGTGAACGGCACAAATCCGGTATTTTCAAATCCGATCTGGGTCACTTTCGTATGTGGTACTGAATCCGATACATATTTGATGTGGAAAGCGACTGCTATTTAAATGGTAATGTCGCATTAAATCCGTCTTTTACGTCACTGACACAAGACAGACGCCAATTATCAGCGCCGGAGAAGTGCCCGAGAAGACATCGTGAACAGTTCCTGGCCATCCCATGTAGATGTCAGTGAAACTGTTGGGAAGACAGCATTGGAGAAACGTGAACATTTTATTTGTACTGTATAATCTGCAGATTCTGACAGAAATCTGCAACTATCCTTTGAAGAACCGCTTCTCTCTAAAACAGCAATAAGGATAATTATTAGGCCATATGTAAGTAACAAAATAACTTTAAAACTTAAAGCAAAATTGGGAAACGTAAAGTCCCAAACAAGTCTTTATATTAAGGACCATCAGTCAAACCATACTGTTTGCTCTGGGTCTAAACAGAGCGCGTTGTGTGGTCTTCTTTTGCGCATGCGGGCCACTTTGAGCGTTCACACTAGAGCGCGTTTGCTGTCACATTTTATTTGTAGTCTGAACAAGCAGACAAAAAAATCAGATTTGATCAAAAAATCGGAATTGAGCATTAAGACCTGCAGTGTGAATGTAGCCAAAAACTGACACTGCAGTCTTTTTGATTGATTTTTACTCCTGAGTCCAACTTTTAATTTTAGCACTCTGGAGTTGAGGGACACAGTAGCACTTCCAAATCACATGAAATATTAAAATGAAATGTAAAGAAGACACAGCCTAACTGCATCTCTATTTCAAGTGAAGAATTCAAAATATTTATCCGGTTTTTAAAATGTGTTGATAGGCCAGGAAAAATAGTTTACAATATGCTTCTTCTGAATATTGTTGTCATGTTTGGTACAGGAAGAAATGGTAAAAACTAGATGTTTTAAGGACAGTGCTGCCAAGCAGAAAGTGGCTGCAAGTAACACATTAAATCAAAGAAAGATTGAAGATCTGTAGGTCTGACAGAGACAGAGGAGAATTATTAAAATGTTTCATGTTAGTAACATCAAATCAGCTGAGCCAGAAGAGACAGTTTCCCATTGTGTTGCATCGAGCACACAAAGTAAAAATAATGTGTCTTCTTAATAATAACATAATATCTGTGTCAATACAGACTTCATGATGTTCATATCTTTGGGGGTAGCTCTGGATCTTTGGCCTTAGCTTTGACCTCAGACCCCTCCCATCTGAGAGAGCTGCACATGAAATCAGTGAGACTTGAGGAAGATGCAGAAGAACTCTTTACTCATCTGGGGCATCCAAACTGTAGACTGGAGACACTCAGGTTAGTTAACTGTATTTACTGTAATAGTAAAACACTTCTGTTTAAAAATAAGCGAACATGAGGATGCACTGCATGTCACGTTTGCAGCAAAAACAGAACTCAAATGCAGGACAAGTGTGTTTATTTACAGTGAAATAGTGAACACTGATCAGTCTTCCACAATCACAGACACAAGCAAAAGATAGGTTTACCTAAGGGGCTGTACTGACCAGGTCGTTAAATGACCCAGCATCCACTGAAGCTCAGCCACACTGTTAAGTAGTGACCACTGATGAGGACAATCAGCACCAGCCGGTGAAGCTTGATGGACGACAGGTGTGGCTGGCTTCAGTGAGGGAATTCCTTTCGGCCTGATATTATCACATAAACCAGCGGTGTGGGTACAAGCTTGGGTACTAAAACTACATACTATAATTTTGGTTTTGGTAATATCTGGTTATTTTTAATCAATGTGGAGAGTTGATTCTGCTGCTGTGTGTGTGTGTTTTTTCTGCAAGTTTAAACTTGACAATAATCTGTACAGTTTGCAATAGTCTGTACCTCTATTAGACGTTCACTTGGTTTCTTATAAGAAAAAGATGATTTAATAAAAGAATACTTTGTAATTCATATGATGTTTATTCAGCTTTGAGGACAGCACTTTGTTAGAGAAGAACTGTTCCGAACTGCTCAGTGCTCTGAAGTCCAACCCCCCCTATCTGAAACGTCTGGATCTAATAGGATGCAACCTGGAGGGTTCAGGGATGAAACAGCTGTATGATTACCTGGAAAGTCCACACTGTAAACTACAGTTTAAAAGGTCAGTTCACCTGACTTAGATTATAAAGGAAAAATATTTCTTTGGTTTATATATAGCAACTCTATATATTTATAGAGTTGCTAATTATTTGGCATTATTCCAGGTAAACCAGCCTATGAAATGGATGAAACCACATCATGACTGGGTTCCAACGCTACATAAGGGGCACTCCGAAATCCCTGCTTCAAACATACCACCTTTCCAATCAGATTATTTCTTCCATGTGAGGGAGAAGTGGTGACCCTTCTGGATAAGATTGTGAAGGTTTGCTGCGTTTTGGAGAACAGTGTGGTAGTAAAACCAGGGAAAAATGAGACTTGCTGTTGTTAATTACTCTTAAGTCTTGTGCTGTATATATATAGCGGTAATTTTTCAAAAGATACAGTAAATTAAGTAGTGTTAGTAGTGGGTGATATTATGTAAACACTGTCATGATTTTCATTCTTTGTAAACATTTTGTCATTTGTAAACTATAAATGACATGGATTCTACATTGTAGAACATCATATCACAAAATGGTTTTAATAAAATAAAGGCACAAATTTGTTTGTTTCTTTATTCAACTTTTGAACAGTGGTACTTAGTAAGCACATATTATAGCGGCAACCTTCGGTCCTTCTTTGCCGCTTCTGCAGAACGCAAAGTTTCTGACTCGTGCTCTTGTTAAGTCGCTTGGATGCCTTCCGGTAGCAAAAAACGAGGCGAAGGAAAAAAGGGGCAAAACATTTATTTTCCATACAAATCGAAAGGTACAAAACAAATGCCTCTGGTGGGAGCTCCGTTTATATTCCCTTTATGTCACAACAAAAAAATAACATTAAAACGGCGACGGTCAGAATTAAGCAGCATATGTAATATGCTGTGCTCCATAAATTAATCTGTTGTTGTTGTAAAGTGTTGGTAGATGTCGTAAAGGGGTGTGTATTTGGCCCGCATGCGGAGGGGTGTGGGTAAAGCAAATACACACCCCTTTACGACATCTACCAACACTTTACAACAACAACAGACTAATAAAGCAGGATTAATTTATGGAGCACAGCATATTACATTATAACATAAAATGATCAAGATTATAACAGAAACTTTAAGATCATGACAAATACTTAAATATGGCATGATGTAACTGAGTAAAATATTGGCCTGGACTTGGCTCCAACAGTACATATTCAGTAAAAGCAAATTATTTACATGGCAGTGCACTACAGGCATAAATCTAGACCCCTAGATAAAACATTATGGGTCATTCCCACGACCCACAGCTT